CCGACCCGACTTACTATAGTTATATACAGTAGTATATCGTCTCGTACTTCCCCTCCCCTGTAGCCAGCCTCTCTTCAACACACACACCTCTTTACCAACCACCACAATACACCACTCTGTCCTCTTTAACCTCTCCATCGTCACGCATTTTGGACATATCCTCTCCTGTGTTGTCAGTCTGAAGAATACCCACAATACACTAGACTTACTACACAATACGCAAGGCTTTCTTTGTTGGCCTCCTCGAAGTGTTGTCTGTCGCGGTGTTGGTGTAGGTTGTCGGTGTCGGTGTCGGTGTCTGGTCCTTCTTTCTCCCCACAGTCCCAACACCTCTACTCCACGTCTCCCAACCCAGACCAACCCAACCCAGCCCCAATCCAGCCCCAATCCACCTCCCCACTGGTGAAAAAGCCTTGTTAACCTGCTTCAACCTCAACACTACCGCCACGGGCCATTTATCTTCCCCCCCCCCCCCCCCCCCCCCCCGGGGGGGAAAAAAAAAAATTTTCCTTAAATACCCCCCCCCTTCCCCACGGGGGGAGTAAACCAGAGTCCCCCCTTTTTTTTTTCGGGTTTGAGACGCGCTTGCAGGAGGGGGAAAAAGGAAAAAAAAAGGGTGAAAAAAAAAAGGGACGAAACCAAAATGGAATAGGGTGGAGCTTCCGGGGCAAGGCCCCTAGAAATTATTCTTACCACCAAAGGCTTTTTCATCTCGTTTTATGAGCTTACGACCAGATCGGCCGGGGGGAGTTGTTCAGAATAGACAAGACCATAATCCCTGCAGCGAGAAACACCCACAGGAAGCGCTTTTATTATAATATTCTGTCTCGAGGCGCATGCATCGCATGAGCAGAAATAAAAAAAAAAATAACACGTTCGCAGCAAGATCACATCACTACGAGAATGCTAAAGGATGACAGTTTAGTTTTATTTCTGTCTGCGCAGCTACATGGCAGAGAGGTTGAGGAGGCGGGAGTAGGTGCAGGGGTTTAATTAAGATGAAATAAGCAGAACAAGAAAAGACATGCCCACCCCCCCAGTAGAACATGGCCTACGTCACTTCCAACCAAAGGGCAGTTTAGGCATACTGCACTAA